CCTCTCTTCCCTGCCTCTTCTCCACACATCTCAACTCGTCTGATAGGTGCATCACTCGGTCTTCTATGCACATGACCAAACCACCGTAGGCGCGACTCCCGCATCTTATCTTTAATAGGTGTAAGGAATAAATGTTTTTAGATTTTGATGATGCTAGAATAATTAGAACATTAGAGTACCCCCATTAGAATTGATGTATTAGAATTCTTCTAAGTGTAACATTCTAGAGTAGTCGACTGACAGAAGACCTACAAGCCCTCTGTTGGCTGTTTGCCTGACAGAAGCGCTCCTGCCCCTCTGTTGGACGTATACTGGACAGAAGTGCCCAAGACCCTCTGAAATCTGCTCCTTTGGACTCGGCAACAGAAGTCCTCACACTTATCAAATTCTCACACAAGCTTAGCCGGCTACCTTAACGGAAGATTCTTTCAACGGCTAGCTCACACTCAACGGAAATGCTACAGGACAACATTTATTGCTCATTTAATGAGCTCTACACTCTAAAGAGTTAAAGCTGATGATTGACCGAGATTTATGGAAAACCTATCCCAAAATAGCAAGCCGTCAAACTTGCGGGCCCAAACCGGTCAACTCAACAGTACGCGCATTCAATGTAGTTGTCTCCTCCTCTTACGGGAAGACAACCCTAGTATAAAAGATACATGATGAAAAACAATCGAACAACTTTTGCTCACTCTACAACATTCAAAAGCTATCTTGAAGATTCAAACTCCATCTCCATCAACAAGAAAAGCTTACGTTGGAAAGATAGTATTTTCTTATAATCTTCATATTCCAACAAGAGCAAAGTTCCTACAGTTCTTCAACAACTTCAAGCACTTCATTTACAAACCTTTTGTGACGAAGCAAGTTGGAGAAAAACTCTGTTTTTCTACAGAACATCTTCTGCAAAGAAGGGCGTCTTAAAGTAGCTGGAGTAGTTAAGTGGTGATACTTCAAGGAGACTCAGTGAAAAAAGACTAGTCCTAAAGGAAGCAAGGAAGTGCATCCCAGGAGACATCTACACTTGAAGAAGACGTGGAGAGCTTCTTAAGTGATAGGACTAAGGCTTTGTAACCGTTTACTTCAAAGCTTAGTGGAACAGTGGACTAGAGGAACGAGTTGTTCCTTGAACCACTATAAAAATCCCTGGTGTCATTTACTTTCTGCTTTCCTTTTTTAAACTGATTAACTCCACAGAAGTGGTATCTGTGTTCAGCAGAACACCTCTTGTGAGTTAACAGAAGGCCTAGTGCGTTTGCATCTCTGTGAGGCTATCCCGACAGAACCCCTACCAAAAGACCTCCGCTACCAGTCTGTTCCCAACAGAACAGGCTATTCCGTTAACCTTGATACTTAGCTTGAAAAAGTTAAAAACCATAACAGTCTATTCACCCCCTCCCCTCTAGACTGTTACCTCAATAACCGGGACCAACAAGTGGTATCAGAGCCTCCTTGTTCTTGTAATCTTTTAGGTTACTCCTTGAACAAAGATCCACCTGTTCTAGCCTCTTTAATTCTTTTTTATTATGGATAACTCTCTTGCAAAGCATCTCATGTTTTCAGATCAGAAATATGATGACTGGAAGATCCGGATGAAGGCACATCTCTGTGCACTTCATGATGAAATGTGGGAAGTCCTAGAAGAAGGACCCTTCACCAAATTCATGAAGGTGAACACTGCACATGCTACTGACAACACACAACCCCAGATGATTGAAAAGGCCAGATCTGAATGGTCTAAGGAAGAAAGGAGACAGTACAACCTTGACAACATAGCCAAACACATCCTTTACAAGGCCATTGACAACAGATGCTTCAATAGGATCAAGAAGTGTCAAACTGCCAAGGAAATATGGGACAAACTTGATCTTATAGGAGCTGGAGATGAGCAGGAAAGAGATAATAAGCTGACCATAGCTATGAAGAAGTTTGATGACTTCAAACTTCTGCCTGAGGAATGCATAGCAGAAATGCATGCCAGACTTCTGATTCTCACCAATGAGATTTCTGAGCTAGGAAAGGAGCTCACAGTCAAAGAAGTCAACCTGAAGATCCTTAGAGGACTGCCCCCAGTCTGGAAGATGAAAGTAATAGCTGTCCAAGAAAGCAAGGATGTCAAAACTTATCCTACAGAGAAGCTGATCTCAGATCTCAAAGCCTATGAGTTTGAGATGCATGATGAGAAAGAAGAAGTGCCAGATGAGAGGACCACCACTTCCCTCACAGCCAGTACTTCTAAGGTAAAAGATTTTGACCGTTCTACCTTATTATCTGACGAATATATGGCTGCCTTTGCCAGAAAATTCAGGAAATTCATGAAGAAAGATGGAAGGATTCCATCTTTTAGCAGAAAGCCTTTCTAGATGACCAAGTCTTTTGAAAGTAGTGGAGAGCTCCTCTGCTACAACTGCAGACAACCTGGACACTTCAAAACCAACTGTCCACACCCCAGAGTGTCCAAAAGACAAGGACAGGATGGAGAGAAGAAATATGAAGATCATGCCAGAAGAAGGAAGGCATTGATCACTGAACAAGCTGAGAAAGATCCCCTTTCTGAGACAGAATCTAGTTCTGATTTAGACTCAGATGAGGCCTTCTGTTGCCTTGATGCTGACACAGAAGACCTATGCCTCATGGCACAATCAGATGATGAGGTATTCTCTACAGCTGATTCTATTTCTTCCTCGGTAGGCATAGCCTTAAATGATGACCCAATGTCATCATTTTGGGAAGAGTTCAGAACTATCCAAGATACTTATTCCTTAATCAAAGAGGAAAACAGTAAGCTTAAAGTTGAAGTCTCTGACTTAAGAAAAGAGACTGAGTGCAAACTTAATCTCTTAACTAAAGAAAGAGATGAACTGAAAGTTGAAAACGTTTCTCTTCTAAATAGAATAAGTGAAATAGAGGACCTTGAAATCAGATATGATAGCCTTTTGAAGATGCAGTTTTCAATAAAGGGTATTGATGATTTTCATAACCTTACTCCTGGTCTTGGATATGTTGAAACAAAGTCTGGTGAGCCTTCTGTAAGGCCTAGCACCCAAGTTGCTAAGGCTGATAAGGTCATAGTGCCACAGACTTTTAGCCCCATCTGTCATGCTAGTACTTCTGGTACTAAGGTTATTCATGAGAAAGTCAGGCCAGAAATCCAAAAGCTAAAGGCCAAACAAAAACAAGTTTTGAAAAACAATGAACCTGGCAGAAAACCGAACTATTCAAAAGGTTTTCAGAAAAATAATAATAAAAGGCAAAACTTCAACAGACACCCTCATGATAACTATGCCAGAAACTACTATCAGAAAGGCAACTATCAAGAGAAAGTTAACTTTAGGCAGAAGAGGTTGTCTGGTCAACCTCAGAAGCCCAAAGCAAAACGCCTCTCTGCTCTTGATAGCATATGGGACTTCTTTCCAACAAAGAAGGCTATGTAGAAATATGCTAACAGAAAGCATGAACCTCACAAGCATCTGCCCAAAGTGAATCATACTGCTGTTTACCATGACTACCAGGTGGACAATGGGTACCAGCCACCAGGGTTTCACCTGATGAGACCAAAGTGGTACCAACTACCAAGACTCCATTACCCCCCAGGACCCAACATCGCTTGGGTACCTAAATCTTCCTTTTGATTTTGCAGGAACTGTGTGCTGGAGCTATCTCAAAACAACAATGGTTTATTGATAGTGGATGCTCCAGGCACATGACAAGTGACGAAAGTTGCCTAACAGAATTCCAGAAAATGAATGGACCTCGAGTCACTTTTGGAGGAAATGACAAAGAAGGTCAAACAAAAGGAAAAGGGAAGCTGATCAAGAACCAGATAATCATTGATGATGTCTCATATGTCAAAGGTCTGAAGTTCAACCTGCCGAGTGCTAGCCAGTTCTGTGACAAAGGCTACACAGTTGAATTCACAAAAGCTTTCTGCTATGTGAAGCATGAGACAACTAAGGAAGTAGTTCTTACAGCAAACAGAAGAAAGAACATCTATGTTGTTGATTGGCAAACTGCAAAGGATGGTGTTTGCCTGATAGCAAAAGGAGATTCAAAGCTAAGCTGGGATTGGCACAAGAAGCTTAGCCACCTGAACTTCAAAACAATCAACAAACTGGCAATAGAACACATTGTAGATGGTCTACTAGACATGTGTACAAGAAGGAGACCATCTGCAGTGTCTGCCAGAAGGGCAAGCAAGTGAAGAATTCATTCAAACCAATTGCAGGAGATCTTTCTACTAGTCCTCTAAATCTTATTTGTGACACCGCACCCGAACGTCCTTGAAAATTCGATTTTAAAATTTAACATTTATGTATTGAATTTCCGATTTGCCAAACAATTGTAAAACGATTAATGTTTTACGTAGTGCATGACTGAATATCGTACTGTTCAAACTCGTATGATAGTGTCGGGTTTGCAAACACTTTTCGGGACTTATTAATAAATAAAAGAGCTCAACATTATCTAAATAAGTGATCGAATGATTAAAGAAGAATACCAATGCCTACAACCCTATCTTTGGCATTTTTGAGCTAAATAATGGGAGTAGGATTTTCCTTCTATAATATCCATCAAGTAAATTATTGGGATGAGCCTACACATATTGGAGATCAATAATGTGATTTAGGAAGTTGACTTGTTCTAAATAAATTAGGATGAGTACAAAAAGACATCTTTTGACAAAGATAAAACAATAGGACCCATTTTCCCCATTTTTGGAAGTATTGGTAGATAATTTGGATCCCAAAATGATTGGGATCAATTGGGAACCACTCCACATGATATTAGTACCTGCAAGACAAATAAAAATGGGTTAGGAAACTTACCTTGGCCGACCACCATGGAGAGGAGCTGCACAAGACTTGATAGGAATCAAATGTTGGGCCACCATCTCTATTTTTCGCACAAAATGGTGTGCTGGTTGTCTCCACTCATTATGGGAGTTATACTCGACCAAACAACGTGTATAAGGTGTCCTTGGATAGCTTTTGAAGTCTATTTTTATAATTGAGTGGTCTCTGTTCGAGAGGAGAGAGTAATCATCCAAAAATCGATCTGGAACGAGCAGTGGTCTGTGAACTCGAGCTGTGAGAGTGCTGAGACTGTTTGGTTGATATCTCGAGTTTTACCAATCCAATTAAGGCGTGTGAGATACCAAAAGAAAGCTCTCAAGACGAGGAATCCGTGAAGGTCTGGTTTGCATCAATCGGAGTAGAGGAAGGCTTCCAAATCGTCCGAGCAGAACGCGACCTCGCAGGAACGGATTTACTCTTCTAAGTGAGTTGTTAATCCCAAAACCTTTCCATTCATTTTCCAATTGATATGAACGATTGGTGGAACTATTGTACACTAATAAAAGTGCATAATATGTCCCCATAAAGTTATTTTATTGATGTAAAGGTTAGATACTAATCTAGAGCAAATCTTGGAAAACTAGGAAACGAGTTAACCGGAAAACACCCATTCTAGGGGCTGTTTTCGTACCAACGATTAAGGGTTGAACTAGCTCTTGAGGAGGCTGTTTAACACCCATTTTATAAGCAAGGAATCAGTTCTCAAGCTTCCTTGGCCGAGGCTTTAGTCATTGGATCGAGAAGGAAAGTTTTAAAGCTCATTTGAGGTGAGGATCGACATCTAGTTGCTTACAACTTGTAGGTTAAGCATGAGATTACCTAAATGCCTAAATAATGTTTTCTATGGATTATGATGATAAATTATTGATGGAATATTGATCTATTTTCCAAAGAATGAAATGGGAAATGATTTGGTAAAGTATTGATGAAAATGGAGTTAAATGAACTATTGTGTGAAATAGACATTTTACTCATGTGTGAATTGTGTAGATACATAAATGATTATTTATGTATTACATTGAATGATTAAGTTGCTGCTACATATCTCTAAATATGTAGGGTTTTACAAATGGAATATATGATGGATAAGAATAATCATAATAGTATTGAAATACTAGTTAATGATTGTTGTAATTGTTGAAGAATTGAATCTAAGGATTTGATTGTAATTGATGAACTTGATTGTGATGCAAGTGACTAAATTGATGTAATGTGATGCTAAGACCATGGTTGGGCAGTCCGTAAGGATGTCCCAAAATAGATTATTGATATTACAATTCTAGGCATAGCGAATGCTTGGGAATTGGGGTCTATGCCAATGTAAGGAGATGTACTTGAGCCGCGCTCATAGAATTGCATTGGGTAGACATGATGGGGTGATTGTTGTGCATGGTGATGTAGTTGAGTTGGACTCAAGAAATGCACGGTGGAGTAGTTAACTTGGGTTAAATAAGGTGCATGGTGATGTAGTCGAGTTGGACTCGAGAATGCAAATATATGTGTTAGGGTTGAACCCTATATATTGTTGTGACTAGGGGTCACGGGGTTTGGGCTACGTTTGATAAACAAACCTTGGGCCTACGGGCCGACTACTTGACTTTATATATAAGGTCAGTATATTTGAAAAACGGGGTAACTTGGGGTTACGGCCTAGATTATATTATCACCCTATTTGAGGGTCTTGTGTTTGAAATACTTGTTGTATATCTATTAGATGCCATCCACATCAGCACTTTATAGCCCTATAGAGTGCTGACCCCTTCGGGGGCGTCCCACCACCATTTTTTCAGGTTGAGGCTAGAGCTTGCTTCCTGTGCTCGTTGCTCGAGAGATCATCTAGGAGGGAAGACTTGGTTCGTGCTTCCTCCATTCGGTTTTTAAACATTAACAAACATGCTCATGAATATTTTACTATAGAGCCTGCGTGCTCATGTTAGCCACGTGTGGCATTTGTTTTCAAACTATGTTTTCCGCTACGTATTCGATTGCTTATTATGTTGTTTATGGATGGCTTGCGTGTGAGTGATATTCTAGACGCCTTGTATAATATGAACGTGTTGGACTGCGGTTGACTATTCATATTGTACGGCGGGTTGTTGACGTGTCCGGGGAGGTCCGGGGCGTGACAATTAAGTTGGTATCAGAGCCTTAGTCCATAAACTTCATAATGAAGTCTCAAAATTCTCTTTTTGGAAAAGATTTTGAAAACCATGAGCATAGAAGTTTTGTACTTGGAGGGCTTTTGGTACTTGGGTTGCAAGGTCTCTAATTGTTAAGATGGTACCCTTAGCAATTGGTATGGCGGTGACTCGAGCCAAAATGTGTCTTAAGTACCTATCCGTCAATTGACATTTGATACGAGTCTAACGACTCTTTCCAAATTTCTTTCAGAAATGGACCGTGGTGGCAGGATTACTAGGAGAAACCCGACGGGCCGTGTACCAGTGGAGACTGGACAGGGCAGTCGAAGGACCTCTAGGGCATCTAGAGGAGCTGGCCGTGGAGGCCGATCACAGACCGTGAGTGACGGTCATGTTGACACAGAAAGTGAAACCTACTGGTCCTATGAGGACTCGACTTACCAACCGGGGACCGAGCCGGTTGAGACCCCTTACGAAGGGGATGACGATGATGTAAGTGATGAAGAGGGGGAGAATGACTCCCTAGCAAGAATCGAGGCGCTGCTCCAACAATATCAGCGGGAGCGCGAAGAAAGGAGGGAACGCCGAAGGCGCCGGGGAGGGCGAACTTCGGGTGGGGCTTCAAGAGGAAGGAGCCATGGCGATTCTCGGGCCCACATTGAGCCACATGGGGGCCGGGGTGATGGGGGTCCAATCATAAGGATCTCAAAATATCTTAAAGAGGCTAGGGACTTGGGGTGCAAACCCTTCAACGGCGCAGGCGACATCTCGGTCGCCGCAGAATGGATCAAGAGGTTGAACGAGGCAGCCGTTGATATGCAACTCACCCCCGAATTTAAACTAAGGGTGGCGGTGAGATTGCTTGAAGGGATGACATCCACATGGTGGGATGGAGCCAAGGGAAAGTATGGCAATACCGTGACTTGGGAGAATTTCCGACAGGAATTCTTTGCCCAATACTATTCAGATTTTGAAGTGAACGCTAAAAGGAGAGAGTATACCCTCCTGACCCAAGGTGGCAAAATGACGGTGAGGCAACTTGAACACAAATTTAGGGAGCTCGCGGAGTTCATACCGGAGTATGTGTGTGACGAGAACCGGATGGTAAATCACTTCTGGGATGCCTTAGACCTGGAGGTGCGTGAGAGGGCAACTCAGTTGCCTAACATGACCTTTAGCCAAGTGGTCGAGCAAGGGTTGAAAGGAGAGAAAGAATGGGAAGAGAGAAAGTTGAAAAACGCCGAAGAGGCGAAGAAGAGAAAGTGGGAGAACCATGGACCTCAAGGTCCTAGCAAAAAGGGGAACCATGGGGGAGGGGGATCTTTTCGGACACCCCCACTGCCAACTAGGGGAAGTCAAGGCCCGGGCGGGCAATCACAAGCCTCGGGGGTGACTCGTTGCAAAAATTGCAAGAGAAACCACCTGGGGAAATGTCGTGACCCTCCTAGATGCTACCAATGCGGGAGCACCGGACACATGAAGATGAGTTGCCCACAACTGGGCGGGACGAGGGCATCAGGGCCAAGTAGTGGTAATACCGGGACACGGAATCAAGCCGGGACTTCACAAGCGTCCAGGGGGCAAGGGGGAGCAAGCGCAAGCAATGCGCCGTCCGTGAATCAAGGAAGGACTCAAGCTAGGGTCTACGCGATGACGGAGGCGGATGCTCAAGCTAACCCGGATTCCGTTGCAGGTATTGCCTCTCGTATACTAGTGTTTTATCCTTAATTAGTCCATAAATTGAGGTTACTAATCGCTAGGATCATTGCACAAGGTTTTGGGGTCAACCGGGGAATTTCGGGCAACTTCAGGCGGCTGGAACCCAGGCACGATCGTGCCTAAGGCAGACACGATCGTGCCTCCAAGTCAGTAGCTGCCCAGGAATTTCCCCAGCCCAGGCACGATCGTGCCTAAGGCAGACACGATCGTGCCTACAAGGCAGTAGCTCCCCAGGTGTTTCTCCAAACCAGGCACGATCGTGCCTAAGGCAGACACGATCGTGCCTCCAAGGCAGTAACCCCCAGGGCTTTTTCCTGAGCCAGGCACGATCGTGCCTACCCCAGGCACGCCGTGCCTGGCACCCAGATTGCCGAAATGTGATTTTTTCGCACCGCTTTGCGACGTTAAGACCTTTTCTTGATCCCTAACATGCGTGTGAACATTGTAACCTCCTATAAATGAGTAGGGAGGGTAGGAAAAATGTCTTACATGGTTCATGAATGTAGGGACACTAAAGATTAATGGGAAGGATGCGCGAATCCTTATCGATACCGGGGCGCAACGTTCATTTGTGAATGAAGCGTTCGCCAAGAGGTTGGGGGTGCAATCCGCACCATTGATGCAAACCTTAGTGGTATCAACACCACTAGGAGATGACGTGGAAAGAACTTGTTATTATCCATCTTGTGGGGTGGAGGTTAATGGTCAAACCTTGACGTGTGACTTCGTACCGCTGGGCATGATTGAATTCGATGCAATCCTAGGGATGGATTGGCTAGAAAGGAACCATGCTAGGGTAGATGGCTACACGAAGGTTCTTGAACTCGAAGGCAATGATGGGGAGACCCTACGCTTCGAGGGCGATCGAGGGAGATCAAATAGCTGTATCATATCCGCCGTGAGAGCGAGAAATATGATGAGAAAGGGATGTCACGCATATCTAGCATACGTGGTTGACAAAACCAAAGAGGAAACGAACATCGATGATGTGAGGGTGGTTTGTAAGTATCCGGATGTCTTCCCTAAAGACCTACCGGGGCTGCCACCTGACAGGGAGATTGAATTTGTGATCGAGGTCGAGCCTGGTACGAAACCAATCTCCATACCGCCATACCGTATGGCACCCGCTGAACTTAACGAGTTGAAAACCCAATTGCAAGAGCTTTTGGATAACGGTTTCATTAGACCAAGCCACTCCCCGTGGGGAGCACCAGTTCTTTTTGTGAAAAAGAAAGATGGGACACTTCGAATGTGTATTGACTATCGTCAACTGAACAAGGTCACAATCAAGAATAGGTATCCTTTGCCTAGAATTGATGACTTGTTTGACCAACTACGAGGGGCAACCGTGTTTTCAAAGATTGATTTGAGGTCGGGTTACCATCAATTGAAGATTAAGGAAGACGACATACCAAAGAGTGCTTTCCGCACAAGGTATGGGCATTTTGAGTTCCTTGTTATGTCGTTTGGGTTAACAAACGCCCCAGCGGCATTCATGGACTTGATGAACCGAGTATTCCATAAATACTTGGATCGATTCGTGATTGTGTTCATAGATGACATTTTGATTTACTCAAAGAGTGAGGAAGAGCATGAAGAGCACTTGATACTTGTTCTTGAGACACTACGGGAGAAGCAACTTTATGCCAAATTTTCTAAATGTGAATTTTGGCTAAAGGAAATTGGCTTTCTCGGGCATGTGGTTTCGGGATCGGGAATTGCTGTTGATAATAAGAAGATAGAGGCCATTACCGAATGGGAGAGACCAAAGAATGTCAAGGAAATTCGTAGTTTCCTTGGATTGGCAGGCTATTACAGAAAGTTCGTGGAAAAGTTCTCTGTTTTGGCGTCGCCGTTGACGAAGCTCACTCGAAAGGGAGCTAAGTTTATATGGGATGACAAATGTGAGAAAGGATTCATCGAACTGAAGAAGAGATTGACCGAGGCACCGGTACTTGCATTACCCAAACAGGGTGTGGGGTACGATGTCTATAGTGACGCGAGCATCCAAGGGTTTGGGTGTGTGTTGATGCAGGAAGGGAGGGAAATTGCCTATGCTTCACGACAGTTGAAGAAGCATGAAGTAAATTATCCTACCCATGATCTAGAGCTGGGAGCGGTGGTGTTTGCACTGAAGATTTGGAGACATTATCTCTACGGAGAGACATGTCACATATATACCGATCATAAGAGCTTGAAGTACGTGTTTACTCAGAAAGAGTTAAACATGAGACAGAGACGGTGGATGGAGTTGATAAAGGACTACCATCTAGTTATTGAGTACCATCCAGGTAAGGCAAACGTTGTAGCAGATGCCCTCAGCCGGAAGAGTTCGTCTGGGGCATTGTTGACTAGTTTGAGGGCACTGAGGGCCCAATTGGAGGTATCTAGCGACGGTGCCTTATTGGCACGGTTCGAAGTGAGACCGGCTCTACTTGATGAGATCAAGAAGGGTCAAGAGAAGGACACAGAACTTATGAAGGTCCGGGAACGCATGCAAGCGGGACCGGTGGAGGATTTCAGGGAAAGAGATGACGGTCTCTTGTTATTTCGTGACCGAGTGTGTGTACCGTCAGATGAGGAGCTCCGAAAGTCCATCTTAGAGGAGGCTCATTCATCGGCTTATGCCATGCACCCGGGGGGCACGAAAATGTACCGTGACTTGAAAGAAAGTTACTGGTGGTCTGGAATGAAGAGGGAAATAGCCGAATACATTAGTCGATGCCTTACTTGTCAACAAGTTAAGGCGGAACATCAGCATCCAGCAGGCTTATTGCAGCCACTTTCCATTCCTGAATGGAAGTGGGAACACGTGACTATGGATTTCGTGGTAGGTTTACCACGGACAATCAGGAACTATGATGCAGTTTGGGTCGTTGTGGATAGGCTCACAAAGAGTGCACACTTCTTGCCTATCAACACTACCTACCCACTTGAGAGGTTAGCCAAATTGTATATGGATGAGATCGTGAGGCTGCATGGGGTCCCAGTGACCATTGTATCCGATAGAGACCCACGATTCACATCACGTTTTTGGCCGAAATTTCAGGAGTCTATGGGAACGAGGTTGAAGTTCAGTACTGCTTTCCACCCACAGACGGATGGACTGTCTGAAAGAGTCATACAGATCTTGGAAGACATGCTGAGGGCTTGTGCATTGGAGTTCCAAGGAAGTTGGGACAACCACTTAGCACTTGTGGAGTTTGCCTATAACAACAGTTATCAGGCCAGCATCGGCATGCCTCCATACGAGGCATTGTATGGGAGGAGGTGTCGTACACCGTTATGCTGGGACGAGGTTGGCATGGCCAAACTCGAGGGTACTGAGTTGGTTGAGGTCACCAAATCAAAGGTGAAATTGATTCGAGAGAGACTCAAAGCGGCTCAGGATAGGCAAAAGAGTTATGCAGATAAGCGTCGAAGAACCTTAGAGTTTAAGGTTGATGACGAGGTATTCTTGAAAGTTTCTCCTTGGAAAGGAATCATTCGATTTCAAACCCGAGTGAAGCTTAACCCACGGTACATAGGTCCATTCAGAATTATAGAGAGGATTGGGGCCGTTGCATATCGTCTACAGTTGACTCCTGAGTTAGAGAAGATACATAATGTGTTTCATGTATCCATGCTTAAGAAGTATGTGCATGATCCCTCTCACGTATTGGAGAAGCCACCTGTAGAGGTACGTGAGGATTTGAACTACGCTGTTCAACCTATCAAGGTCACCGATAGAAAGGTGAAGAAACTGAGGAGCAAGGAAGTCCCAATGGTTAAAGTCCTGTGGAAGAGCGATCGGGTCGAGGAAGAGACATGGGAAACAGAGGCTTTGATGAGGAAGCAGTATGCTTTCCTATTCGAGTAGAGCTGTGAATTTCGGGGACGAAATTCCTGTTAAGGGGGGGGGGGTGAACTTGTGACACCGCACCCGAACGTCCTTGAAAATTCGATTTTAAAATTTAACATTTATGTATTGAATTTCCGATTTGCCAAACAATTGTAAAACGATTAATGTTTTACGTAGTGCATGACTGAATATCGTACTGTTCAAACTCGTATGATAGTGTCGGGTTTGCAAACACTTTTCGGGACTTATTAATAAATAAAAGAGCTCAACATTATCTAAATAAGTGATCGAATGATTAAAGAAGAATACCAATGCCTACAACCCTATCTTTGGCATTTTTGAGCTAAATAATGGGAGTAGGATTTTCCTTCTATAATATCCATCAAGTAAATTATTGGGATGAGCCTACACATATTGGAGATCAATAATGTGATTTAGGAAGTTGACTTGTTCTAAATAAATTAGGATGAGTACAAAAAGACATCTTTTGACAAAGATAAAACAATAGGACCCATTTTCCCCATTTTTGGAAGTATTGGTAGATAATTTGGATCCCAAAATGATTGGGATCAATTGGGAACCACTCCACATGATATTAGTACCTGCAAGACAAATAAAAATGGGTTAGGAAACTTACCTTGGCCGACCACCATGGAGAGGAGCTGCACAAGACTTGATAGGAATCAAATGTTGGGCCACCATCTCTATTTTTCGCACAAAATGGTGTGCTGGTTGTCTCCACTCATTATGGGAGTTATACTCGACCAAACAACGTGTATAAGGTGTCCTTGGATAGCTTTTGAAGTCTATTTTTATAATTGAGTGGTCTCTGTTCGAGAGGAGAGAGTAATCATCCAAAAATCGATCTGGAACGAGCAGTGGTCTGTGAACTCGAGCTGTGAGAGTGCTGAGACTGTTTGGTTGATATCTCGAGTTTTACCAATCCAATTAAGGCGTGTGAGATACCAAAAGAAAGCTCTCAAGACGAGGAATCCGTGAAGGTCTGGTTTGCATCAATCGGAGTAGAGGAAGGCTTCCAAATCGTCCGAGCAGAACGCGACCTCGCAAGAACGGATTTACTCTTCTAAGTGAGTTGTTAATCCCAAAACCTTTCCATTCATTTTCCAAATGATATGAACGATTGGTGGAACTATTGTACACTAATAAAAGTGCATAATATGTCCCCATAAAGTTATTTTATTGATGTAAAGGTTAGATACTAATCTAGAGCAAATCTTGGAAAACTAGGAAACGAGTTAACCGGAAAACACCCATTCTAGGGGCTGTTTTCGTACCAACGATTAAGGGTTGAACTAGCTCTTGAGGAGGCTGTTTAACACCCATTTTCTAAGCAAGGAATCAGTTCTCAAGCTTCCTTGGCCGAGGCTTTAGTCATTGGATCGAGAAGGAAAGTTTTAAAGCTCATTTGAGGTGAGGATCGACATCTAGTTGCTTACAACTTGTAGGTTAAGCATGAGATTACCTAAATGCCTAAATAATGTTTTCTATGGATTATGATGATAAATTATTGATGGAATATTGATCTATTTTCCAAAGAATGAAATGAGAAATGATTTGGTAAAGTATTGATGAAAATGGAGTTAAATGAACTATTGTGTGAAATAGACATTTTACTCATGTGTGAATTGTGTAGATACATAAATGATTATTTATGTATTACATTGAATGATTAAGTTGCTGCTACATATCTCTAAATATGTAGGGTTTTACAAATGGAATATATGATGGATAAGAATAATCATAATAGTATTGAAATACTAGTTAATGATTGTTGTAATTGTTGAAGAATTGAATCTAAGGATTTGATTGTAATTGATGAACTTGATTGTGATGCAAGTGACTAAATTGATGTAATGTGATGCTAAGACCATGGTTGGGCAGTCCGTAAGGATGTCCCAAAATAGATTATTGATATTACAATTCTAGGCATAGCGAATGCTTGGGAATTGGGGTCTATGCCAATGTAAGGAGATGTACTTGAGCCGCGCTCATAGAATTGCATTGGGTAGACATGATGGGGTGATTGTTGTGCATGGTGATGTAGTTGAGTTGGACTCAAGAAATGCACGGTGGAGTAGTTAACTTGGGTTAAATAAGGTGCATGGTGATGTAGTCGAGTTGGACTCGAGAATGCAAATATATGTGTTAGGGTTGAACCCTATATATTGTTGTGACTAGGGGTCACGGGGTTTGGGCTACGTTTGATAAACAAACCTTGGGCCTACGGGCCGACTACTTGACTTTATATATAAGGTCAGTATATTTTAAAAACGGGGTAACTTGGGGTTACGGCCTAGATTATATTATCACCCTATTTGAGGGTCTTGTGTTTGAAATACTTGTTGTATATCTATTAGATGCCATCCACACCAGCACTTTATAGCCCTATAGAGTGCTGACCCCTTCGGGGGCGTCCCACCACCATTTTTTCAGGTTGAGGCTAGAGCTTGCTTCCTGTGCTCGTTGCTCGAGAGATCATCTAGGAGGGAAGACTTGGTTCGTGCTTCCTCCATTCGGTTTTTAAACATTAACAAACATGCTCATGAATATTTTACTATAGAGCCTGCGTGCTCATGTTAGCCACGTGTGGCATTTGTTTTCAAACTATGTTTTCCGCTACGTATTCGATTGCTTATTATGTTGTTTATGGATGGCTTGCGTGTGAGTGATATTCTAGACGCCTTGTATAATATGAACGTGTTGGACTGCGGTTGACTATTCATATTGTACGGCGGGTTGTTGACGTGTCCGGGGAGGTCCGGGGCGTGACAATTTGGACCAGTTGAAACTCCAAGTGTTGGTGGAAAAAGATATACACTAGTCATGGTTGATGACTTTTCAATATACACATGAATAGTGTTCTTGACAAAGAAAGATGAAACTCTTCAAAAGTTGCCATCTCTGTTGAAGCAACTCCAGACTGAAAAGAATATGAAAGTCAGAACCATTAGATCTGACAGAGGAACTGAGTTTGTTAACAAAGTAATCAAGGACTTCTGTGATCAAAATGGGACATTTCATCAACTCTCTGCTGCCAGAACACCTCAACGGAATGGTGTTGCAAAAAGAAGGAACAGAACACTGAAGGAAGCTGCAAGGACCATGATTGCTGAATCAGGATTACCAATGAGATACTGGGCTGAAGCAATCAACACTGCATGCTACACCCAGAACAGAAGCATGATCCACAAGAATCATCAGAAGACCCCCTATGAACTATGGAAAGGAAACCCAACATCAGCTACTTTCACATATTTGGATGCAAATGCTACATTCTCAACAATGGAAAGGAGCATCTAAAGGTCTTCCAAGAGAAAGCTGATTGACGTGCACTTTGTCGTTGTGTGCAATCAAAATAAATACAATACAACAAATATACGTAGTATATATTGAAGTAAGGTTCGTATCCGCAGGAAACACGTTCACTAACTTGGACTTTTTGTTTTCCATTGAGTCTATGCTTCCTTTTTATTGTGCATAACTCCTTAAAAAATTTTGCAAATCTAGGAACACCTTTTATTAAGTTGAGAAGAGGAATATTTACCTCACATTTGGAGAATGTCTCATAGATGTCCTTGTCTTTCTCCACCCTTTTCGTTTCCCTTAGAGCTTCGGGAAATGGTGCTTCCACTTCATGAATAACCGGGGGTGGAGTTGAAATGTGAGCTTCCTCCTCCTCCGGTTGAGCTTTCTCCACAAGCTCTTCTTCCTCTTCCTCGCCAATGTGGCTTTTGGCTTTCTCTTTGGCAATCACCAATTCTTTGTCACTCCTCAATGTAACAGCATGGGCTTGTTGCCTAGGATTCGGCTCCGTTTGAGATGGAAGCTTCGTTGAATCCTTGGCTTCAAGCCTACTCACCGCACTTGAGATTTGGCTCATTTGGTTCTCAAGGTTTTGGATGCTTGATTTTGTCTCATGTTGGAATTGAACCATGTTTTGTTGCATGGTTGAGACATTTGAAGTGAGTGCTCGGATCATGTCTTCAGTGGACATAGTTGAGCCTTGGCCTTGGGGTTTAGAGTATGGTTGTTTATTTGGAGGGAATTGATTTGGTGGAGGGTTATTTTGTTGTGGGTTTCCTTGTGGATTCCCATAACGAAGATTGGGATGATCTCTAAACCCGGGATGATAAGTATTGCCATAGGAGTCGTACCTTCTTTGATTTGGGAACCCCAAAGCGTTGACTTGTTCGGGGTTTTCTTCTTGAAGGGTCGGGCATGCATCGGTGGGGTGGCCTTGTTGTGTGCAGATGCCGCATACCTTGACTTCTTGGGTTTTGGAATTAAAAAGAAAATCCTTAACCAAAGAAGTCAAGCCGGCAACTTGACTTTCTAGAGATGATGTTGATTCGGCCGCCATGACTCTTTTTGTTGATGACCGCCCGTTGTGATATCTACAATTTTCGGCCAACTCCGAGATAAGATTCATAGCCTGAGAAGGAGTCTTGTTAACGATTCCTCCTCCACACGCGGCATTAATCATCCGTCTATCATCGTTGCAAAGACCATCATAAAAGTATAAAATGAGGTCTTGCTCCGAATAGCCATGATACGGACAGCTCGCACAAAGTTTCTTGAATCGTTCCCAATATTCATAGAACGATTCATCATCATTTTGCTCCACATTGCTGATTTGCTTTTTGAGTGATGAGGAGACAGAGGCGGGATAGTACCTTTCAAGGAAAGCCTTTTTCATTGCCGCCCATGTGTCTATACTTCCCGAAGGAAGATAGAATAGCCAATCCTTTGCGGTGTCCTTGAGTGAGAATGGGAAAGCCCGCAATTTGATTTGCTCCTCGGTGACTCCATTAGGGCACATGCTTGTGCACACAACATGGAACTCCGAGAGGTGTTTATTCGGATCCTCCCCTCTTAGGCCATGGAAGGATGGCAAAAGATGAATGAGCCCAGATTTTAGCTCAAATGTATTACCCTCGTTGAGTGTAGGGAAGGTAATACATAACGGTTGTTGATTCAAGTTCGGAGCTGTGAGCTCCCTCAAGGTTCTTGTTTCTTGAGCCATAGTGATTGGCTCTTCAGATTCGCTAGAACTGGAGCTAGCGTTTGAGGTTTCCTCCGAGGGTATGTGCGGAATTAAATTTCTCAACCTCTCGAAGGCTTGTTCTATTTCGGGGTTTGCTTGATAAGTGATTTCGTTTATAGAACGATATCGGACCATATACTTCACAAAGCTCAGAAATAGAAAAATAAGAACTCTTTATATTTTTGGTTAATTATTTTTTTTTTTCTTGAAATAGAATAAAAAGAAAAATAATTGCCTTTCCCCGGCAACGGCGCCAAATTTGACGTGCACTTTGTCGTTGTGTGCAATCAAAATAAATACAATACAACAAATATACGTAGTATATTGAAGTAAGGTTCGTATCCGCAGGGAAAGGAATACTTCTCTTCTTATAAACTAATTAATAAAGGGGGGTTTTGATTGAGTGATTTAATTAAAATTGAATACGAAGATGAACGAGTTATGTGGTTTAATTAATGAGAAGAAGACTTGGCTTTGCTTTTATCCACTTAATGAAATGTTCGTCGATCCCGGTTATATCTTTAACTATCTTCCTCTCGAATACTCAATCGAGGAGTATATCCAGTTCATCGAGGGTAGTTATTAATAACGAGAAGCATTCATTAATAAAACTTACTATCGAGTTAATATAGAACAAGCGTCGTATATTAACTTGATAGTAGCAATAAACTTAAGATGAAAACGATTGAGATTGATAACCTCAACACAAGCGGTTTATTGGTTTAATCAATATAATTAATTCCCCTTAGATTATTAACCATGAGATGCATGCATTAATAATCCAAGTTTACTACCATGAAAGAACCGAATTAATAACAAGCGTATTAACCGATTGATTCTGGTAATAATTTATATATAGAACAAGACTAGTTGATACTTTAAGTAATGCTCAATATATTAATATGGAATATGAATAGGAAGTAATTAATATTCAAGGAAGAAGATTAAAGAAAATAACTCACAACTTACAAATCATTAAGCTTCAAAGTAGCAAAACCAAGATAGAAGAGTTTAGCTCCTCATTTGGAGACTAAACATGATGAAAAATATAAAGAAAGAATTTGTCTAAACTGAGCTAAAAAGTATATGTGAATTGGTGTCCTTAAAGTGAAGGAAAGGAGGTGTATTTATAGGCTTTTTGAAGTGCAGGCCGAGTACTCGATCGAGTATGTACATATACTCGATCGAGTATGTGTAGAAACCTGAATTTGGTCAATACTCGATCAATACTCGAGTAGATTTTATATGTATACCCGATCGAGTATGTCGGTGTACTCGATCGGGTATGACAATAGAACGTGGCCAAATCTTTCCTTGCATGTTCATTTGTTCCCGGATCGGATCCTTGAAAATCAGTATTGGTACTCGATCGAGTATAAGGTATACTCGACCGAGTATACCCCAAAATCAGGAGTTTTTCCTTCTTTTTGTCTTCTACTCTTGCACCTTCCTTCACCTTTGATCATTTGATTGATCTTGGACCTGTTTAAGCTCAGAATAAACCTAATCTAAACAAATTACAAGAATTTAACAAACTAAACTATTACACCGAAAGTGTGTAATTTCCGAAATATTAAACAACCAAAACTAACTAAAAACGTAAATAAACACACGGAAATTACAAACGTATCAACTCCCCCACACTTAATTCTTTACTCGTCCTCGAGTAAAGTCAAATGTTTCAAACAGTTTAAGATCATTCCATGAGTTCAAGAAAGAAAGGAACTAAGATCACCAAGAAATAAGAAAATGATTTTACAAAACAACATTTTTTTCTTGGGTTTTATGATCTTCTATGCTCCATCTTCTTGCCTCTTCTTTTTTGCCTTCTCCTCTTTCTCTTCAAGAGATCAAATGAGTTCCTGCACACAACAAATACTTCTCTCATATCTCTCATTTTGCCTAGGAGCCTTTTCAGGTTTTCATCCTAGCATCTCTTTTTGTTTTTCCATCCTTTCCAAACTCACTCAAATTTTTTTTATAAGCCATTTTTCCTTAGATTGCCCATTATTGGGTTTTCAACCTAACTAGCATTTCAATTCTTTTATTTATCCGTTTTTTTTTGTTTACAAAGAGTAAAAGAAATTCATGCATAGTAAAAGGTAGAAAATGAAATTACATACCATGAGTAATCTCCTCCCCCACACTTAGTTGAAGCACTGTCCCTAGTGCCCGCCTTCTTCGCCATAGTAACTGCCCCCAAAGCCGCCTCCATAGCTCCCATCGCCCATGTGAGTATCGCCACCGTCATCCCCGCCATCAAAACCGCCACCCCCGGAGCTCGATCCTCCAAAGTTGCCCCATTGAGTGGGGTCATACCAAGAGGGGGGTGGTGGTGGTTGAGCCATGGTGTGGAATTGGCCTTGATGAGCCATGTAGGAATACATAGGTCCATAGAACCTACGTTGATCTTCTTCATACCTTCGATTATCTTCGGCCCGTTGCTCCTCTAGCCTTTGAAACCCCGCCCTTTGTTCCTCCCGATACTTACCAACTTCATTGGTAACTCTATTAAATCCGTCAAGCAGTTGTTGGAAGTAATCGGGAGGTGGGGAAGTTTGGTTAGGTGCGGGCATGTGGTGATGTGCAACCTCGGGTTCTTGGTACTCGGGTTGAGGCTCTTGGTCGGGTTGGTCTTCGGGGAGATCTTGGGCTTGTGGTTCTTGGAGATGTGGTGGTAGGGCGTGAGGGAATAGGTAGTGGGGCACCTCGAACTCCGGCCTGTAGATGATTTTGGGAGTGTCGGGGTTTGGTAAAAGGAAGTATTGGACCGGTTGGACGTGTATGATCCAGTTGTACATGTGTTTTGGTTGGTCTCCAATGTACACTGTATGAGAAAAAGAGGTGCAGCCTGATCGGCCTAACCAACCTATGTCCATCAAACAATATTCGGGTATAGGAGAGTTATCCGTATACCCGAATTTACCGGCCAAGTGCATAATTACCCCTCCCAAAACAATGGCTCCTTTGGCTACGCTTTCTTTTTTCAGATGTGCCCACATGAGATTGCACAGATTAAAGTCTACGTGACGACGGAATAGGGCCACGGACATCAAACAAACGTCCCCAATTCTAGTGTGATGGTTGTTGGGACGGCCAAGCAAGCAATTGGCTAAGAATTTCAAGAATAACCGGAGGACGGGGTGTTGGACATGACTAATATACATTTGGGAGGAGTTAAAGCTCACTTCCCCGGTCATCTTTGTCCATAGGGAGTGCCCAAAAATGGTGTTATCCGAGATGGCTCTCTCGTAGGGCACCGGGATACCAAAGTGTTCAGCAAATTCGAGTTTCGTTATTGAATAATTTCGGTTAAACAGACGAAACTCGAGTCTATCATCCCTAAAATCCGCCTCATCACTTTCAAACTTTACCGAACTCAAGAATTCGTAGATAATTCGTTCATTAGAATTGTATTTCATATTGAAAATACGGTCCATATCTAATGCATGAAAGAATTTTCTACAACTCTTATAGACTCCTAATTCACGTAGAGCATCATGGCATAGAAAACG